TTATTATTGGCTAGGATGCTTGTCTTTTGAGCCACGTCATCATTTCATTCGGGATCTTCGTTCTTAAGAATTTTTTCTTCACAATATGTTGATGCATCACATTGCGAAGTTTTTAGGTTTTGTAGACACCTTGACCCAGAGGGCAGTCGATGATAATAGTCAATCATGTTCATAAGGCGCCTACGCGATCAAAATAACTTGAGATTTATCAAAGAATCGAAGCAATTATTTCTTTATTTTCTCCAATAGTTCACATGCGCAGACACTTAATACACAAATTGCATCGTTTTTACGTACCAAAATCTTTCCAATTAATAAACCACTTCTATTCAATTTATTTAAAGAATAAAATTGGCACCTGATAGAGCCATGCTGCAGCTATATTATTGGTATAGTTGTAGCACTAATGGGTCGGCTCGACTGGGGTAGCTTAAAGCTGCTGCGTTTCTTATGGTAACTATAAAGAACCGGAGAATCTTTTTACTGGAAACAAAGCATTCCATCTTTGTCCTCACGGGTGACAACACATCTGCATTTTGATTCGGGATCGTGGATGGTTACATATACGTTAGTACTCTTATTAGTTTATGGGTACAGATGTTTATGGGGCACAGCAACCACTTACCACCAGGTGAACTGTGTGCTCGTTTGTCACCCCTATCCTTTAAAAAAGCAACAATCCGTCAACTATCAAGTCCCGCCAATACTCCATAATATGATTCAAAACGAGTATAACAATCGCAGATTAATAAATATGAAGCAAAAATCCATATGTGTCATATTTTTAATCACTATAAGTATCACTGTAGGTAATTCTTAACAGAATATCCAAAACGCTAGAGAATAATCAACGCATGGAAACAATATTGGACTCTGAAAGAGATTATGAAAAACAGAGAAATAAGTATGACCATCAAGCGGAAACTGTTTGACACTTGTATACTGCCTGTATTGACATATGGTTGCCAAACCTGGGCACTTACTAAATCTCACAACAGAAAACTTGCAATGTGCCAAAATGCTATGGAAAAATAAGAACTACAACCATAAAGAAACACACCGGAACAAGGGACATTACGGTAACCATAAGAAAACTAAAATGGAAATGGATAGGGCATACAATTAGGGGCAAAGAAAAATGGTCAAAAACAATAATGTTCTGGTTCACAAGAAACAGGAGAAGGAAACGAGGAAGACCATCCATAAGATGGATCGATGAAATAAAGGCTGTTGCAGGTGGCACATGGACAAGAGTGGCTGGTGACAGAGAAAAATGGTCACAGTTGGAGGAGGCCTTTGTCAAAAGAGGCACACAGACAGGGATGTTGAAGCAAAATTAGTCTATAAAAAGCAAAATATATGGAAGAAAGTATAAACTAACATTGTCTGAATAAAAGGCTTTTATTATTATAATTGGGGTATCTATATAATTTTCTCATCTGGTTGGGTTATATAAATATATAATTATAAATTAAAATGAAAAGATAAATATACATAAATATCAATAAAATAAAATAAATACAAAAACTACATAAATAAATAAGATCCAACCAGATGGGAGCCCTCGGCAGGGGAGACCAAACGGCCGAGGGTTAGGGAGAAAGGAAAAGGAACAGGCGGACGATGCGGGCGGTATCGAGGAGCACCGCCTTCTGCATTTGAGCCCGGAGCGGTCCGTCACGGAGTCCCAGTCGCTTCAGATGACCCGAGAGGCTAACTGGGATTAGCCCATTCGCAGAGACGACTACAGGAATAATTTCGGACGGCATACCACCCCAAATGTCGGTCACCTCGTGAGCCAGGTCCAGATATTTTGTTCGTTTATCTGTTTCGGCTTTCACGAGGTTCTCATCATACTGAATAGTAATGTCGATCAAAAATATCCTTGACTGTGCCCGGTCCATCAGCACAATATCAGGCTTATTATTATTAATGGGGTATCTATATAATTTTCTCACCTGGTTGGGTTCCATAAATATATAATTATAAATTAAAATGAAAAGATAAATATAAATAAATACCAATCAAATAAAATAAATACAAAAACTACATAAATAAATAAGATCCAACCGGATGGGAGCCCTCGGTAGGGGAGACCAAACGGCCGAGGGTTAGGGGGAAAGGGAAAGAAACCGGCGGACGATGCGGGCGGTATCGAGGAGCACTGCCTTCTGGATTTGAGCCCGAAGCAGTCCGTCACGGAGTCCCAGTCGCCTCAGATGACCCGAGAGGCTGACTGGGATTAGCCCATTCGCAGAGACGACTACAGGAATAATTTCGGTCGGCAGACCACCCCACATGTCGGTCACCTCGCGAGCCAGGTCCAGATATTTTGTTCGTTTCTCTGTTTCGGCTTTCACGAGGTTCTTGTCATACGGAATGGTAATGTCGATCAAAAATATCCTTGACTGTGCCCGGTCCATCAGCACAATATCAGGCTTAATCGCAAGAATAGTCCTGTCTGTGATGATGGTCCGGTCCCAGTAGAGCCTGGCGCGGTCATTTTCGAGCACGGCTTTCGGCAAGTACTTGTAATACGGCAATTTTCGGTCCACGAGACCGTATTTCAGAGCGAGCTCCTGGTGTAGAATTCTGGCTACTAGGTTGTGCCTGTGCAAGTACTCAGAGTTAGAAACCGCCGAACAACCGGAGATGACATGCCTAAGTGACTCCCCGGGATGGCGACAAGCTCGACAGACGTCGACAGTGCCATCCTTTAGGATGTATCACCGATAGTTGTTGGTCTTAATAACCTGATCCTGTATTGCACAGACAAAACCCTTGGTTTCCCCGAAGAGGTCACCGAAACGTAGCCAGTTGAGGGAGGCGGCTGTATCTACGTGAGGCTCATGTAGAGCCCTGTAGTACCTCCCGTGGAGCTCCTTCTCCTTCCATACGGTCTCCTGGTCGGAAATGTTCTGTACGGCCGGGTCTTGCCATTGCTCGTTGGATAAGGATAGAGGGGTAAGTCCTTTATCATTAGAAATGACGTCATTATAGAATGGATCATCCGATCTCGCCAGGAAGCCACGCCCACCATGCTTTCGCGGCAAGTACAGCCTCATTACCGACGATCTCGGATGATGCATTCTATGGGACGTCATTGTAGTGCGGACTTTTCTATCCAGGGCGTTAAGTTCAGTCTGACTCCACCTGAGTATGCCAAAGGTATACATGAGGACAGGCATGACCCAACCGTTATATGCATGTGTCTTATTCACACCGGACAAAAAGCTGTCTTATTATTATTATTATTATAAGTATCACTGTAACTAACCACTACAAACGGTTTGCAGAATTAAAACATCGATTTGACTTCACCATAAATAGGGCTAAGTCAGTACTATATATAATTATAGAATTACTAGCTTAGCATCCCACCTGCCAAGCGTGGCAACTGACAACTACGGCAATTTAGGTCTCGAAATTTGAGACTCGATCTAGTGCTAGAGTAAACAGAATACCCTTATTGCCGCCTTATGCGTCTTGATTTAGTACCCCATGTGTAGTGTATTCTAATCGGCACTTCGATAGTTATAACGTTGTAACACAGTATTTGAAAGTTATTGACGACTTAACAAGTAGAAAAGTCGTTCGAACAGGGTGTAGGATATTATTTGCATTGAATTACTTCGACATTGCGTAAATTCATCCCAAATATAATATACAATTATGTATGTAAATACATTGTTTTATACAAAAAGTAGGCTTTGTATTTTGTAAGGGCAATCCATCGATTTCCATCCAATAGTGCGCTATAGTGTAATGAACACTCTTTCCACAATGTGATTTTGAAATTGATCAATTTGAAATTGATCCGTGAATTTTTTTGCCACCAAAGCGAGGCCACTTAAAATGGGGGTCTAATATCTGAAAGATACTAGATACGGGAATTTAATTTTTTTGGAAAATGAAAAGGTTTATGTTTTTTTTTTTCTGTACTATTAATTATATTTTATATCAATTGGATTAAAAATAAAAAAAAAACATCAAAATTCATAAAGGTAGAAAAATTAAAAAAGTGTTAAAAAAGTGCAAAAATTAAAGAGCAAACCACTTAGGCGTTGTTTTTTGTATTAATATAATACTCTACAAACTGAAAACTTTTATTTAAATCTAACTTTTCAATTAAATGACATTGTGTAATAAAAAACTTCACCTCAGTGTCAACTAGTGGCATCGGGTGAGAGGAAAATTATTAGCGCTCATTGCCTCAATTGAGCTAAATAACTAAGATGTATAATTAGTTTTAATTATTTATTTATCAAAATATTTATATATGAAACAACCTTTTATTTTTTTCTACTTTGTTACTTGAACAAATTGTACTTTGTCCAATCTTTGTTAGATAAATTCTGTGTCCGTGCTTCCTGTCATGCTAAGCGTAGCGATTAAAAGGACCTATTTAATTAATAAATAATATATAATAATCTTGGGATCGAGACCAGAGAATTCATTGTGTGAAAGTTCAGACCAACGAGTATATTGTGATATAAAGTTGAGCCACGCTGGCAACACTGACAGACGGCATTTCAGTATTGGCATCACCAAAGAGAATATAACCACTCGGCCACCTGGTTTTGGCCTAAAGGTCTAGATACCGGGCCATAAACTCCAAAAAAAAAAAAATCACTCGGTCAAAGATTTTGATAGTCGGGCACGGCATCCATTTTGAATTAAATATTGTCTTTCTTTGTGTGACTGAGTGTGACACACTTTATTCGATCAGTTTATTATAATTTGTTTTGTTCATATAAATGCTTGTTTTGTTTAGTGGAGGTGTTGTGGTCTAAGCGAACATTAGTCGCTATCTAGTTTGTGGTAAGACATCAACTTTTATACCGTGCAGTGTTATACAATTTCTTCTGGAACAAGACGACATTTTGAAGTGACGTGTAATGTTGTGCATTTCAGATAGTGGTTCCGCAAACTGAGCTTTCATGATTGGATTACCGCGTAGCGATAGAGATAGAGATCGTATTACGGTGAAAATTCGTAACATGAAGCGCAGTTCGTCAAGGGATAGTATGCCGCGATCGAAGAGGACGCGTAGTAGTATAGGCCGGTATGACGACAGTTCCGATGAGCGCGTGACGCCGGAACGTGTTCGACGTCGCGTACGTTCTCCTAGCCCTCGCGGCCGGTATGTGTCACCTCATCGTGATGACTACGTACGTTCTAGAGAAATTCGGGAAGAATCCTCTCGGCCTTATTACAAAGTACTCTGCGTCAGTGCTCTCCACCCTAAAGCTTCCGACGAAATTATTAAAGATACTTTGTACAGGGAATATAAAAAGTTTGGTGACTTTAGTATTAAAATTTCTCATGAACTGGACGAGCGGGTTGCGTATGTATGTTTCCGTAGTGCTGAAGACGCAAGGGATGCTAAACATGCAAAACCGAGAATAATTTTATATGACAAAGTAGCTATTGTAGACCCGGTTTACGAACCTGTTAGGTCAGAGTATAGAAGCAGGCCAAGAAGCATTACCCCACCTGATTATGACCGTCCATATTCATATGCTTGGTCCCCAGTGCCTGAAAGACGAAGGCCGCCACCAGATGATAGGGCATATGGAATTCCGCCATCTGTACCACCACACCACCGAGATTTTCGTCCCCCTATGCATGAATATCCAATGGCGGGACCTCACGGGCCTCCAATGCACCACAGACCACCCATGCATCATCCTCCTCACCCTCATTACATGCCACGGCCATATATGCCTAGACCACATCATCCACCTTTTGAGAAAATGGAAAATAAAAAAGACAAGTTCCCAAACTATTTACATCATGTACAGCCTGAGGATGATCCCTTAGCAACTAGAACTCTCTTTGCGGGTAATTTGGAAATTAATATATCAGATGAGGAGCTACGACGAATCTTTGGACGATATGGTATTGTAGAAGATATTGATATAAAGCGTCCTCCTCCAGGCACTGGCAATGCATTTGCATTTGTTAGATATCAAACGCTAGACATGGCTCACAGAGCAAAAGTAGAACTGTCTGGCCAATATATTGGCAAATTCCAATGTAAAATAGGATATGGCAAGGCAACACCAACTACTCGTGTTTGGGTTGGTGGTCTAGGGCCTTGGACTTCAGTAGCTCAGTTAGAGAGGGAATTTGACAGGTTTGGAGCCATAAAAAAGATTGAATATGCAAAGGGAGAGGCTCATGCATACATTTTGTATGATTCCATTGATGCAGCCCAAGCTGCTGTTAAAGAAATGAGAGGATTTCCTCTAGGAGGTCCTGATAGACGTCTACGTATTGACTTTGCAGACGTTGGTACTGGAGGGCCCTACAGGCCAAAACCATATGCACCACCAGTTGGTGAAGATGGTAGACCTGTAGAAGGGTATGAAGGATATGAAGGAACTTGGGATGATAGTTATGGATATGGATCGGGATATAGAGGGCGTGGTGGACATCGTGGTCGTGGTAGAGGTATGTATAGAGGTGCATATCATGGAACTGGGGACTATAGAGATGAAGAGTGGAGACGAGCACCAGTTGATGGGGAATATGAGAGCCGTGTGCGCCGTTCTGGCTCCCGGGAACCAGGTGTTGACCGTTCCAGATCACGTTCTCCCCGTCGGCGTTCACCAGACAGCGATTCTGATGGCTCACCAAGACGAAGTGGTGGCATGTTGGCATCTGCAAGAACCTTACCTGAAGTAGTACGAAAAGCAACCACAGTTTGGAATGGAGCTTTAATCCTCAAGAACTCTTTGTTCCCCACTAAATTCCATCTGACTGATGGAGACTCTGAAATAATTGACAGTCTGATGAAAGATGAAGATGGTAAAAACCAGTTAAGAATTACTCAGAGACTGAGATTAGATCAACCCAAATTGGATGATGTGCAAAAGCGCATAGCTACTTCTAGTTCACATGCCATATTCTTAGGAGTGGCAGGCTCGACAGCCTCAATTACAAATGAAGACACAAGTATTCAGACAAGGCCAATGAGAAATTTGGTTTCATATCTTAAACAAAAAGAGGCAGCGGGTGTGATATCCCTCTTGAATAAAGAAACTGAGGCTACTGGTGTTTTGTACTCCTTCCCTCCCTGTGAATTTTCTACTGAACTTCTCAAAAGGACATGTCACAATCTAACAGAAGAAAGCTTGAAAGAAGACCACCTTGTAATTGTTGTTGTCCGAGGTGGTTCTGCCTAGTAATGAACATCTATTTTTCTTAAATTTGTTTACATAATATTTAGCATAAGTTTTCTATATTACATTAATGTTTTTTTTTTTATAAAGATACACTATTATGTAATTTATGTGATGTGTAGTGCAGTTGTGATGTGTTTGTCAACATTGTTTTGTGAAAATTTAAAACATTTTTAATATCTGCTGTGCAAGTGCTGTGAAATTTCACAGTTATAGTGGCAAATCAATAGTTGTTTGCATAGAAATAGGATTATATACAAATTTAGTTTTGCTAGTATTAACTTTGACAAATTCTGAATTTTTGTGTATTTATTATGATAAAGGAAACAAAGTTATAGTGTATAATTATTCAGTGTAAGTTAGGTGATTGTGTAGTGTATGTGCAGATACAAATAGAATATTAAATCTAATGTTGTAGTTTCTTTGCACCTTGTGAATAAGTGATCATTCTTCAAAGTGCAGTTAAAATCAAAAATAGCAGTGTCTAGTTTGTGCAAATAAGAGGTGCAAATTTAGTTTTGTATATGAGACTATTTAAAGATTAAGAATGGGAAATTGCTGAAAATGTGATCAGAGCTAGTGAATGCCTTCAGATATGAAGTATAGTTGTAGTGGGGTTCTGTGGCAGCAGTAGTGTTGTGTTTTGTGGTCATGTCAGGCTAAAAGCCAGTCAGACATCTTAAATGACATGTGACTATTGTGATAAAAATAGGGTGAAAGTTTCTGTAAGTAATAGAAATATTATGGCAAAATACAGCTTTGTACTGAATAAAATATAAACATATCAAAATGTACACAACAAAGTTGCCAATGTTGCAAACTTTTATAACACACATTAGTTCACAGTAGATGACCTGATTACAAGTTTGAATAGGTTTTCGTTAAGTTCACCATCACTACTAATTGCCAGGTTGTATAGAAATCATTTAAGTTTCTTCATCAGTTCATGACAGTCTGCTGCTGGACATGGATTGCCCAAATGGGATTGCAATTTGCTATGATTACTATACTTGGCGGGCTGATACTAAGAGGTAGGACTCCGTTTTTTGTGTTGGAGTGTATCTATGTAGGTACTTATCACTTACCTATTTTGCCATCAGATAGCATACTCTGCACTGCTGTTTTCTGGTGTGAAGGATAAAGAGAGCCGATACAATTTAAACCTGTGATAAATTTCATCCAAACCCTCCAAAGTGACAACACATCTGTAGGTTTTTTCTAAGTTGGCTGTATGTGTTCGTGGACTGTAGCAGCCAAGTACCATCAGGGGACTTTTATTCATGTCACTTGTTTTATAAAAATATGATTGATGATTGTAGATATTTAAATTTGCTATGAATATGAGATTGATTATGATTTTAATAGAATACTTAGTACAATAGAACTATCCGGCAGCTTAGAAATGTAAGCCATTTTCCTAAGTATTATCTAATAATACCAATGAGAACAAGTGATGAATTCCTGTCATGCCCACTTTCATTATTAAAATTCAAATCCAATTTCACTGACACTGTCAAACAAGAGAAGAGACTATGAAATTCAATTATCTTTATAATTCGCTGTTTTTAATGCAAGTTCACAATTTGAATAAGAATTGAGTATTTACTTACTACATCTGTAATGTTTATCTGAATAAGATAAGTATTTTATGGCATATGGAGACTTCTAGATGGTAATAATTATACGTACATAGTCCCTTATAAAATCATTTTCTCTGCAATGGATCTGATGTGGTAATACAAAAGCCATGTTCTCCACATATATTTTATTTTTGAATGACAAGATGTGTTACAAACAAACAAATTTGAATGAATAGGAAAACTCGTAAAATTACAAATTTAATATTGTTACATATTCTTACATTCTTAATCATAAAAAAGTTTAATTTCGGTAGTATTTCTTTAGTAATCTGCTGCACGAATTTATGGTCGCCGAGTGGGCGGGTAGATGGGGGGGGGGGTAGGAACCTCCCCCCTAAAAAAATTAAGTGCCGGAACCCCCCCCCCCTTTTTTATGATTTTTTTTAGTAATCTGCCGCATGAATATATGGTCGCCGAGTGGGGAGGGCTGGGATAGGAACCTCCCACTAAAAGGGGGAAGTGCCGGAAACCTCCCTTTTTTAGTAAAATAATAACCTTCCTTTTTTAAACAGGAATATTGACGCAGTTACTTCTGCAACGGCTTCGGCACTGCGGGAAGTGCAGCCCCTTTGTCCTTGCGTAGCAAATCACAGGCACCCATGCTTGCCTCCTCAGCTTCGGCTTGTTGGTCGCTTTCGGCGACCAGCCTCTGCCGTTACGGCTTGCTTAGGTGCCTGCGATTTGCTACAGCGGACGGGGGTTGCTTTCCCTCCGTGCCTACGGCTTTACAAAAACACTAGTGGTGGTAGGGCAGACAAGACTATGTGGAGTCGGGGTGTGCTAATTCGATTTTAGAACCGATTCGACCAATTTTATCTATAAAGTCTAGTTGCTCTTAACTCTGCTACTAGAGTGGTAAATGAAATAATGTAATGTGAATTGTTATAATTTTGTTTTCTGAAAAACCTCTTGACTGCTCTCCACTGCAACTCAATTTGTTGTATATAAGTCCCATCTCCAGCCACAAATGGATTGTCTGGGTCTGAGTGATTAACTTTTTTATGAGTGTATCTGTGTTAATAAAAACAAATTGACATATTTGTGTTTCGTTATATGTAATTTAAAGTGAAATTTATTTTTATCGTAATTAAGTAATTAAAAAAGCATTTGCGAAATCCAAAAACAGTGTAAACGGTTCGAGCTTAACCCTGACAATCCTAAATTGAAAACATAATTAAAAAATCAAGTATCGTAAATCTACTTCATAATACGAGAACAAATTGACATATTACACTATTTTTGGTGAAATTTGTTTTTATCGTAATTAATTCAAAATGCATTTCCGACATCTAAAAACAGTGTAATAGGTTTAAGATTAACCCTAACAAGCCTCCTAGATTAAAAACATTATCAAAATCAAGTACCGGATGTCTAGCCAACCCGATATAACCTCAAAACTTTAACTATCGATATATCGAAAAATAAAGATTTCCGGCATAAAAAGCAGCTAAATGGTAATCAATAGCATCATTGCCTGTCAACTAAAGCTAAAATAATCACTTAAATCGTGCAGCAGATTACTAAAGCCGACCCGTAATTTCTTATTTCGATTTTTAACAACTTATTATCAGTGATGAAAACTAAAAGATTAGGTTTATAATTTACTAAGCATGCTGTATGGATTTACAGGTTGGTTGGGTTCGTTCCAGAGTAAGTATGATGGAAATAGTCAAAGTGGTTTGTATAACACTATAACTATGATTAATTTAAAGCAGAGAGATTGATAACCAATCAATCTCTGCTTTTTACAGTATATTAATCATAATCAATACATGACTAAAATATGCCTTTTTAACCCATATCAATCTAGTGAATCTGCTGCTAGATACAGGCTCAATCCATTGGAATTACTTGACATTATTGCCTTACTTGGCAGGCATATGGATGACACTGTTAAACATTTTGGACCATTTTCTGCTCTCTTTTTTCTAGGCTGTAATCATATGAATTGCTTATGCAATATCAATTAATCAATCAATATAACTGGTGATCTCAATCTTGATATATCTTACAATAGTTTGATTTTTATGATAGAAATTAGATGAGACTGTGGATATTTCATATTCTGTCATCACAGCACAAAATTGTTGATTATAATAATCAACATATTTTTAAATTAAGGCTCGACTATCAATATGTGAAACTTAAATATCATATTGGTACTGCAGAGGTTAAAGATGTGTCAGGTACATTTTTTTATTTCTTACCATTTGAAGAACTTAAAGGCTTTATATTATATAACAAGGAAAGAATACTCGATCAACCTAACCCTGCCCAGTGCCACAAGGCTGGACTTTATTATGATTATATTGATAATAGTCTCTTTAGCTGATTTTAATAATGGGGATGATTGAATCATTAATAACTTCCAAAACAGGATGTTAGCTATATTTGCCATGCTTTATTTCTTTGTGTGATAACTTTGTAATGAAGACATCTGCAGTATAAACAGTAACCAATAAAATGCAACGGATCTTTAAGTTGAAGAGCCTTCCAAATAGTTCGAAAAACAACCAATGGGAAGGTTCTCGAGTGGCAGCTGCTTCCTAATAGATGGAGTGACGTCCTTGTAAGAGATGCAGGTAAATGATGGGTGGCAAGGTGTCACAGAGCTCTGGCCTGAGCCATGTAGTACTCCTTGAGGGATGCCTATGTTCAGGTGTGGACATGTGATGGCTGTAATGTGGATGATGATGAACTTCCAATAATATTTAAGTGATAAATGACCTCACCATAGAATACTATAATACACAATAGAATGGCTGTCAACTTTATTTTATACGAGGATTGGCGTCGCCAAACCCGATTCGCTGTGTTGAGAGACTGAGTAAATTTACACATTATAGGCTTTAAATTAATGTTCAAGATCATCATTAAATTTTAATACATATTTATTTGTAAATAGGGTGCAATTTTTAATTTTCTAAATAATTTGCATGCGAAATTTGGAAACGATTGTAACGTCAATATACATCTCGTGTTGACATTTATACGTGTGAATTGACTTGTTATGTTATTGTTATTGACAATGTTAGTGACATTTTAGTGGCTACGCGGGCTCCGCCCACTCCCCCGTTCTATTTTGTATGTATTATAGTATTCTACTCTGGACCTCACCCTCACCTGTCTATTCTGTACTTTGAAGTTATAGTGTAAAACTTTAATTTTTTGTAACCATTATTTGTTCTAATATTTCAGGGGTTCGCCAGAATACACTCGAAGGATAGTCTCTTAAATCGTGGGCGCACGAATGTACACATCACAGTAATATACAGCTAAGTATAAAGAACACGGAAGGTTCCTACTTGTTAAAACTACTGTTAGTACCTATGACGATGAGACATCTTTTGTTCTCGTATATTG